GATCTTCTTTTGGAAAGTGTCTATTCATGTCTTTTGCCCACTTTTTAATGGAGCTTTTCTTTGAGGGGGTTGCTTGTTTGTTTGTTTTCCTTTTGGTATGTTTGAGTTCCTTGTAGGCCTGGATGTTAGCCCTTTGTCAGATATACAGTTGGCAAATATTTTTTTCCAGTCTGTGGGCTGTCTCCCTGCTCTCTTGATGTTTTCTTTTGCTTTGCAGAAGCTTTTTAGTCTGCAAAGCAAAAGTCCTACTTATCAGTCTTATCTCTCTTATGGCATGGGCACTTGGGGTTTTGATCAGGAATTGGTTGCCAGTTCCAATTCCCATAAGAGTGTTGCCTGAATTTCTGAGGTTCTTACAGCTTGAGGTTTTACATTTAGGTCTTTGATCCATTTAGAGTTCATTTTTATGTATGGTAATAGGTAGGGATCTTGTTTTAATCTTCTGCGTGTGGTCAGCCAGTTTTCTCAGGACCATTTACTGAATAGATTCTTCTTCCCCAGTGGTTGCAGGTTGAGGCTTTGTTGAAGATGACTTGGTTGAGAAATTGAGGTTTTGCTTCAACAACAACAAAAAAAAAACCAGGAAAACCAAACACACACACACCCCCAACCCAAAATGAAAGGAGAAGAAAAAGAGAAAAAGAAAAGAAAAGGAATTCAAATTGAACCCTCACATTAGACTAAAAAAAAAAAAAAGCAAAAATAAACCAAAAAACTGAAAGATAAACACTTAATCCCTCATGTACACACATAAACAGAAAACAAAAACAAAAGATTTAGAAAGAAAGAAAAAAAGAAAAGGGTGGGGTGGATGCTGATCAAACCCTCACATACACATTCATACACAAAGGAAGAAATATTAAAAAATTAAAAAATGAACAAACAAATCTGCCCTCTTGTGGCAGGTTCTGTAGTTGTTCCTCTCAACTGCCCCTCTGCAGTCCTCTGCAGAGCTTCGGCCTCATTCACAATCTTCCCAGCACTCTGCCCAGGAAAGGAGGAGGGGGCAGTGGGGGTGGGCAGGGCTTCAGTCCTCCCCTCCCACTCTAGTATGATCAGGGGGATTCCCTCTGGTGGGGAGATACAGGATTGTCTCTTCCCCAGGTACTGGCAGGAGATACCCCACCTAGGTTTATCCTGGAGTGGAGTCCTATTGTGGCTGACGTCCAGTCTCTGCCTGAGTTTGTCCCTGTCAGTCATGCTCCAGCTGCGTGGGTCTGACATTCAAAGGATTGCTGAGAAGGAGGGTTATGTCAGCCTCAAACTCACCACTGATCTCTTCTGAGGTCTTCTTCATCCTTTTCTGGCCACACCCTTTGTCCCTCAGCAGAATCAGGGAAGGGGGTGGGATGCCTGAGACCCAACACTCGTCAATTATTATTGACTATATTCGCCCTAAAGATCTATACATCTTGTGCAAATGAATATGATGGATCTAACAGAATCAACCGATTATCTGTATAAACATTTGAATGAGTGGCAACTAATGTAACAAATTTTCTTTAACTTGGATGTGATGTTCTTAATGGAAACAGTAATGATATCTCTATTGAAAATAAACAAAGCACATGAAAATAACACTAGTTGTTCATAGTGATGCCCAGGTTACCCTTCTCAAGTTAGGGAAAGAGAATTTAAGAAAAATTAACTTCACACAGGAGGGATGAAGATGGCTGGAAAATAAATGAAAAACTTTGATATCTATCGGGGATCACTATAACATGGAATATTTTCCTTGTTGAAAATATGCTCTAATATCATTTGTGTCCCTTTTACACTTTAAATTACTTTATGCCCATGATCAGTTGGCTCCAATTTCCACTTTATATATTTCATTGTATTTTTAATATGTTGTCCAAATCACATAAGTAGAGTTTCAGAGTTTTTTCCTAAAATGATAAACAAATGATAATATGGTCTCTCATAAAAATGTGGTTTATGCCCTAAATATTTTATTATTCTTTATATTTTATATCCCACAGCTTAGGATACAGTCCATACTACTACAGTAAATTACAAAATGGGTAATGGGCAAGAAATAAAATAAAAATGTATGTTGCTAACTTAATATTGAGCTCTAATCAATAAATTAAAATTCTTTGTGGTAAATTATTAAGTGAATCATATTTTATTAAGACATTTGAATATCATCATTCATAAGTGATATTGGTCTGTAGAAGAAAATTTAGACAATAAGAAATTATCATGGGCTGGGCTCGGGGGCTCAGCCTGTAATCCCACACTTTGGGAGACTGAGGGGAGTGAATTGCCTGAGCCTGCGGAATCAAGACCTGCCTGGGCAACTTGGCAAGACCTCATCTCTACAATAAATCAAAAAAATTAGCCGGGCATGGTAGCGTGCACCTGTAGTTCCAGATACTTGGAAGGCTGAGGCGGAAGGATTGCCGGAGTCCAGCAAGTCGAGGCTGCAGTGACCGGGAGCATGCCACAGCACTCCAGTCTGAGCGACAGAGTGAGACTCCAACTGAAAAAAAAAAAAAATTATCATGAGGAAGCATATAAAAAATTAAAAGTATGATTATGGGTTATTTAAAGAACACAATGAGGAAAATATTATAGTGCAACGGTTACAACAAAGTCATTCAACCAGGCTATAAAGGTTCAAATCAGACCATTTCTTTTTTTTTTTTAATGTGTTGTACAATTTTTTTATTTTAATGTAAAGATGTGGGATACAATTCAGGGTTAGGTATACAAACATTGATCAGGCAGGTACCCCTGTTAATGAGGTATGCCCCTCCCTTCCCTAGCAACTTCCCTGTTAATGAGGTATGCCCCTCCCTTCCCTCAACTGCCAATCCCACCCTCCCCACCAACAGTTTCCCATTACTGCCAATCGCTTTCTTATAGCATTATAATTGTTCAAGGTCCTCTTATGAGTGAGAACATATGGAACTCTGTTCTTTGTTTCTGTGATAAATCACGGAGTATGATCAACTCCAAATTCATCCAGGTTGCCGCAAAGTTCATATATTTGTCATTCTTTAGGCTGCATAATATTCCATTGTGTATATGTACCACATTTTTTTTATCCAGTCCAGCTTCAATGGGCAACATAGTTGGTTCCATGTTTTTACTATTATGAATAGAGCTGCAATAAACATTCGTATGCAGGTATCTTCTTTGTAGAATAATTTGAGTTCCTCTAGGTATATTCCCATTAGGGGAATTGCTGGGTCATATGGAAGGTCAATTTCTAGTTCTTTCAGAAATCTCCAGACTGTTTTCCAGAAATCTCCAGACTATTTTCCAGAGACTGTTTTCCACTGCATTCCCAACAGCAGTGTAGAAGTGTTCCTTTTTCTCCACATCCTTGCCAGCATCTGTTGTTGTTTGTTTTATTAATGATGGCCATTCTTAAAGGGGTTAGGTGGTATCTCAATATGGTTTTTTTGTTTTGTTTTGTTTTTTTGAGTTGGAATCTCACTCTGTCACCCAGACCGAAGTGCAGTGGCACACTCCCAGCCACCACAGCCTCAACCTGCTGGGCTCTAGCGATCCTTCCGCCTCAGCCTTCCAAGTAGCTGGAACCACAGGCACGCGCTACCATGCCCAGCTAATTTTTTATTTATTGTGGAGATGAGGTCTCACCAAGTTGCCCAGGTGGGTCTTGAACCCACGGGCTCAGGCAATTCACTCACCTCAGCCTCCCAAAGGGCGGGATTACAGGCTGAGCCTCCGAGCCCGGCTCAATGTGATTTTGATTTGCATTTCTCTGATGATGAGTGAGACTGAACACTTTTTCATGTGTCTGTTGGTTGCCCGTATATCTTCTTTTGAGAAGTATCTATTCATGTCTTTCGCCCACTTTTTAAAGGGGCTCAAACCAGGCCATTTCAATGTTTAAGTGAATTAATTAACTTCTCTTTGGCCAAATTCTCCTGGAATGTAAATGAAGAATAGCAGTGCCACAATAAAAATACTAAGAATGTTATATTAGTTAGAATGCATAAAGTATTCATAACAGTGACCCATATGTTGTATGTGGTATAAAAAGAAGCACATCAGACTCAGGAAATATCTGATCAAGAAAAAAATATATTTTAGAAAGACATTTTTAGAAAGAGCAATTTTGCATTTAATTCTCCATGGAAAAATAACTACAACTCGTATTCATGTAGAATTATCTGTTCAAGAGTAATTATTGAGACTGAAAATAATAATATCAAAATAGCCTCCATGGAGTTGAAAATTGGAATAATTTTCCTTTTCCAGATTGTCATTGGAATGTTGGGGAATTTCTCACTCTTATATCACTATACATTCCTTTAGGTCAATGGATGCAAGTCAAGGTGCACAGATTTGATTCTCAGGCACCTGACTGTAGCCAGTTTCTTGGTCATTCTCTCTAGAGGAATTCCAGAGACCATGGCAGCTTTGGGGCTGAAAGAACTTTAGTGATGTTGGATGCAAACTTGTTTTTTGTTTTTTTTTTGAGTTGGAGTCTCACTCTGTCACCCAGACTGGAGTGCAGTGGCCACTCCCGGCCACCGCATCCTCGACCTGCTGGGCTCCGGCAATCCTTCCACCTCAGCCTTCCAAGTAGCTGGAACTACAGGCTCATACTACCACACCCGGCTAATTTTTGATTTATTGAAGAGATGAGGTCTCCCCAAGCTGCCCAGGCGGGTCTCGAACCTGCGGACTCAGGCAATCCACTCACCTCAGGCTCCCAAGGCGTGAGGTTACAGGCTGAGCCACCGAGCCCGGCTTAAACTTGTTTTCTTTTTTTTTTTTTTTCCATTTTAAACAAGAAGTTTATTTAAACAACAAGACACTTAACATGAAGGGAAAACTATCAGGAATTCTTTTTTTTTTTAGAGTAATTTATCCCTACTTAAAGACAGATTGCCCTACATGTAACAGCTACGTACAAAAAAGTTATAAATCGTCATTGGCTTTACAATGATAAATGAAAACATTAAAACTCTCCAACTGAACAAGGTATGCAAGGATTTTTTTATGTTGTTGTCTTTTTGTTAAAACAGTGAGAGCAAAATAACTTACTGTAATATAAAGATAAGAGTTGAATGAGCATGCCACTAATGGAGAAAGGGGGTATTTTCACAGAACCAGTATTTGTTCCCATCCCATCTCCGCTTGATGTCAATCAAAACATACCATTGGCCATTTAGTTAAAAAATAAAATTGCAATATGCGTGTGCACGTACATCCGTTACTTTATGTACAATAAAGGAATGGGGAAGGGGAAAATGAAAGAATAAAGAAAACTATACTGTAGTAGTCAGGATGTGGTGGAACCAAATTGCAGTTTTCTAATTGAGAAAGTAATCTTGGTCTGTAAGAACAGAGTTCTGGAGTAAAGAAGGAGGTTCCCTTTTTAGTAGACACCTCCTGTCTGCTGCTGGAACACATCAATTGTATCTTCATCCTCCATCTCCAACTGTCGTTCACAATAGGCTTTCATTAGTTTACTAAGTGGTGTATGCCTCTTAATCTTAAACTGTACCATAGAACCATCCTACCCCGCCACCTTCAAATTAATATGATCGTTGTTCTCAGTCTTGACTCCTTCCTTGGGTTTTTCCTCGGCCATGGCCAGCGCCGGAGTCTCCTCAGCAGCCGCTTCACAAGAGGCAGCAGGTCCGCACCGAATGAGCACACAAGCAGCACCAGGAGCGGCAGAAGAAGGAGGCGGCAGCAGTGGACGAGGGAGCTAAACTTGTTTTTTATGTTCAGAGTGAGTATGGAAGTGACAATTGGCAGCAACTGCCTGTTGACTGTCTTCCAGTCATCACCATCGGCCCTAGGAACTCCAGGTGGGCGGAGCTTAAAGTAAAAGCTCCCAAGTACATCACACCTTCCATATACCCAAGCTGGATCCTGCACTTGCTGGCACATCTCATTTTACCTGTGGTTATGACTGGCAAATGGAAAACTGCAAACACCACGACGAGAAGAGACTTTAGATACTGTTCTACTACACTTCATGGCAACATCTCATTACAATCACTGTATGCAGCACTGATATCCATCCCTAGACCAGAGGCTCCATGGTTTTCCTCCTGTTCAGATACAAGCAGCAGTTCCAACACACTCACAGGACCAGTGTCTCCTTCAAATCGTCTCCTGAAATCAGAGCCACCCACAGCATCTGTGTCCTGGTGAGCACATTTGTGTGTTTTTACATCCTCTCCTATATCATCCAGCTGAGGTTGACTGTTTTTCATAACAGAGGCTGCTGCCTCTGCCTTCACTTTTATTTTATTTTAGTATTTATCTAACTTTTTATTTTGAAGATGTGGGTACAATTCAGGTTAAGTATACAAATGGTGGTTATGCAAGTACCCTTGTTGATGAGGTGTGTCCCTCCTTCCCGGCAATTTCCCACTACTGCCGATCCCACTCCCCTCCCCGGCTGTTTCCAACTATTGTCAATCTCTTTCTTTTTTTATATATATATAATTTTTTTTTTAATTTTATTTTTTTTTTTAGTTGGAGTCTCACTCTGTTGCCCAGACTGGAGTGCAGTGGCCGCTCCCGGCCATCGCAGCCTCGACCTGCCGGGCTCCGGCGATCCTTCCGGCTCAGCCTTCCGAGTAGCTGGAATTACAGGCGCGTGCTACCATGCCTGGCTAATTTTTTGATTTATTGTAGAGATGAGGTCTCGCCTGCCCAGTCGGGTCTCGAACCCACAGGCTCAGGCAATCCACTCACCTCAGCCTCCCAAAGGTGCGGGATTACAGGCTAAGTCACCGAGCCCGGCAATCCCTTTCTTATAGTATTATAATAATTGTTCAAGGTATGTTTATGAGTGAGAACATGTGGTACTCAGTTCTTTGATTCTGTGATAGATCACTCAGTATTATAGACTCTAAGTCTATCCAAGGTGCTGCAAGGTTCATAATTTTGTCTTTCCTTATGGCTGCATAACATTCCATCATATATATGTACCCCATTTTTTAAATCTAGTCTTCATTCAATGGGCAGCATGGTTCGTTCCATGTTTTTGCTATTGTGAATAGAGCTACAATAATCATGTGTGTGCGGGTATCTTTTTCACAGAGTGATTTGAACTCCTCTGGGTATATTCCCAGAAGGAAGATTACAGAGTCATATGGAAGGTTGATTTTTAAATCTTTTAGGAATCAGCAAACTATTTTAAACAGAGGTTGTGCTACTTTACACTCCCACCAACAGTGCAGAAGTGTTCCCTTTGCCCTGCATCCTCTCCAGCATCTGTTGCTTTTTGAGTTATTAATGATGGCCATCCTGACTGAAGTTAGGTGGTATCTCAGTGTGGTGTTAATTTGCATTTCTTTGATGACAAGTGAGTCTGAGCATTTTTTTCATGTATCTGTTGGTTGCTCATATGTCTTCTTTTGAGAAGTGTCTATTCATATCTTTTGCCCATTTTGTAATGAAGCTGTTTGGTTTTTTGGGCATATTTGAATTCTTTGTAGATCCTAGATGTTAGGCCTTTGTCAGATATACAGTTGGCACATATTTTTTCCCAATCTGTAGGCTGTCTCCCCGCTTCTCTTGATGAAGTTTCTTTAGTTTTGCAGAAGCTTGTCAGTTTGATGAGGTTCCACTTGTGTATCTTATCTCTTATGGCATGGGCACTTGGAGTTTTTATTAGAAATTGGTTGCCAGCTCCAATTTCCATAAATGTGTTTCCTGCATTTTCTAAGTTTCTTATACTTTGAGGTATACATTTACATTTAGGTATTTGATCCATTTAGAGTTGGGTTTTATGTACGGTGATAGGTAGAGGTCTTGTTTTAATCTTCTGCATCTGCCTGCTGCTCATTGTTTGCCAACTACCATTCCAGAGTGAAAAGAAATTCTGTCAGAATAAACAAAGAGTATTTAAATATTCAAAGTGAACAAACTGCAACCAGGTACTTACTAAGATGTGGAAGGCCAATTTCGCATTTCAGATTCTTCATAACAACATGTAATCATTGCCTATGGGTTTTTAAATGCAAGTCTTATCTTTAAAAAGGTATGAATACTTGTTTATTCTGAGTCAAACTTTCTTGATCAGAGAATTAAAAGAGAAAGACACCTTGCCTAGCATTCAAGAGGGTCTCTGACTTCCTAATTCTAGGCTCCAAATCTCACTATTTTCAAGTGGAAAGTTACTTATTTTCATAGTTAACACAATTAACTATGTAAACAGACCCCTAAACAGCAGGCAAAAACAGAAACTATCTCCTTACAACTTGTTTCAAAGACAAGAAACTGCTGCTTTTTTACTACTTAATTTGGATTGTTAAAGTATTATTACTTATTTTGGATTCTCCTTTCTTATTTAAAAGTGAAAAACAAGTTGGGCATGGTAGTTCAGGCCTGTAATCCCACCACTTTGGTAGGTCCAGACAGGAGGATCACTTGAGGCCAGGAGTTCAAGATCAGCCTGGGAAACATAGTAAGACCTCGCCTCTACAAAAATTGTTTAAAATTAGCTGGGTGTGGTGGCATGCACCTGCAGTCCCAGATACTCAGGAGGCTGTGCGGTAGAACCACTTGAACCCAGTAGTTCAAGGCTGCAGTGAACTATGATTGCACCACTGCACCCCAGCTCAAAGCAACAAAGAAATACCATAGCTCTAAAATACACACACACACACACACACACACACACACACACACACACACACACACAATCTATAGATATACATATAAAACAAGTTAGGTAGACTTACACACTTCTCAAAAAAAAGATAATCTATTTGATTCAGTATGGAGTGTCTATATTAGTCGTATAAATGAAAAATCTGTACATCTCTTTTTTAAACAAATTAATGTTCTCAAAAGAAACAGCATTATCCACTTCATTTCAAATGACACTAAGCTTATGTTCATTGAGACCAGGAATTCAGACCAGCCTAGACAACATAGTAAGACCCTGTCTCTTTAAAAAAAAAATTTTAATTAGCTGGATGTGGTGTATGCACTCACAGAGATATAATTCCACAGGCACCCATGGTAGAGTAGTTTAAGGTCATCACAACCAGTCGTCCCCAGTCACAGACACTCATGACTCATGCCACCAATTTGACAAACTCACCGACAGGGCTCTGTGTGTTCAACCACCAGAAAACACACACAACAGCACAACCATCAAAACAAAAACACACAGCAGTAGTCCTCCTCAGCTACACATTGACAGAGGCATACAGTCACACCCAGGTCATATTCAAGGTCAAAACCTCACTGTACCCTCCCAGACCTCAACACCACAAAGCTCCCTAATGATTCCACTCACATCACAGATCCAGTCACAGCCACTAATGATCCATTCCCAACAAATCACTTGTATTTTTGAGGAGTATGCATCTCACACCCAAGGAAACAAAGAACTTCACAGGTGGAAACTACATCACAAGGAGAAGAATCCATAGGCAAGGTCCTGGTCATGTGAGCGGTCTTAAGGTGACACCTGCAGAGACGACCAAGAAACCAAGGAGCCCGGCAGTGCTCTTGGGCCTGGTGTGGTCTCAGGGAATAAAACAATCACAAGAGCACTGAAAGGTCTCAAGGTGACATTCCCAGAGACGTCCAAGGAGCCAGGCAGTGCCCTTGGGGCTGGGATGGCTTCGGGGAACAAAACACAATCACAAGAGCAGTAAGAGGGCTCAGTGTGACACTTACAGAGGTAGCCAAGGACCCAGGCAGTGCTCTCAGGTCTGGGGTGGTGTCGGGAGCAAAACACGCAATCACAAGAGGGATAAGAGGTCCCAAGGTGACACTCGAAGAAATATCCAAGGAGTTGGCAGTGCTTCCCGGCCTGGAGTGGCATCGGGGACAAAACACGAGTCCCACTCCACACAGCAGCCTTGCCACAAGCTCAGCCAGGTCCCCGCGACTCCAGGGGGGCCCGCTGAAGCTTTAGGGTCTCCTCGGAGGACTGCGGCACCACGTCCCAAGACGCCGAGTGACACCCCGAGGACGCCCCGGGCCCTGGACGGGTATTCCCAAGTGATGGACTACATTTCCCAGAGGTCTCTAGGGGGCACGGCTGCATTAAGTTCGTGTAGAGTTGCTTGCTGGAAAATGCTGAGGGACGCGCTTCCGGCTTTGCGTATTTTTCCCCAGTGACGACTACATTTCCCAGAGATCTCTGGGGACTGTCTCATCAGAGCCGTGTAGCGTCGCATCCTGGGAAACGCCTACGGAATGCTTCCGGCTCTCCGGATTCTCGGGTTGCGAACTACAGGTCCCATAGGTCCCTGGGGAAGTGTCCTATTAGGGCCGTGTAGAGTTGCATGCTGGGAAAGTTGCAGAAAGCGCGCTTCTAGCTCCCCGGTTCTCAGGTTTCGGACTACATTTCCCAGAGGCCTCCGGGGCACATCCCGAAGAGGAGCGAGCCGAGTTTCGCGCAGGGAGGCGTGCTTCCTGCTCGCGCGATTTTTAAATCTGATTTCACCTGGACGTCGTCCCGGGGACGCCTCAGACCATGCTTCCCCTTCCGACGTCCTGGGTGTGGTAGGGCCCCGGCACCGGAGTCGTTTGCTTCTCGGGAGGAAGCTGGAGCGGGGTTCCGTGGGGAGTGGCGGTGAGGGACCCACCCGGGCGACAGGCCCGAAACGAAGAGAGAGAGAGAGAGAGAGAGAGAGAGAGTGTGTGTGTGTGTGTGTGTGTGTGTGTG